AGCATGGTGGCCTGTAACTGTAATCCCAGCATTTGGGAGGCTGAGGCAGGAGGATTTCTGTGAGTTTGAGGACAGTCTGGTCTACATATGGAGACCCAGTCTCAGAACATCACCACCACCAAGGTTACCCGCAGGGAATGGGGGGACTGCTCAGGGCTGCAGCTCCAGTGACAGAGCGATTTGCCCTTCCAGGCTGGGTCAGGAGGTGGCCAAAATGAGCAGGGATGTTCACTTTGTGGTCCTCTCTTCTGCAGCTAGGGCCTGATCTGGTCAGCTCTGAGCTCAGCTTTACTGCGTGGAGATGGGGTGAATTTGATGCCCTGCACTAAAATAAAACCCAAATCAAAACACAGGAATGTTGGGGAGCCGGCAAGGTAGCTCAGCGGACTAAAGCGCCTGCTTAGGTTCGAACCCCGCACCACATGCAGCACCAGCCTGCCCCCGGGGTGGGCTGAGCCAGCCAGAGTCTGGGCATAGTGGTGCACACCTGTAATCCCAGCGCTGGGGAGGCTGAAAGCAGGAGGATCACCACGAGTCCAAGCTGTGTAGTGAGACCCTGTAACAATAAATTACGCTAAACAACAACAACAACAAAAATAAAACACGAGAATGTGTTCTTGGGGCAGAGGTGGGCTTGGTGGCCCAAGCCTAGAACCAGAGCTCTCAGAGATGAACCCAGTGTGGGCAACTGAGCTGTCTAGCCCGACTCTGTCTGCAAAATAAAATAAAAAATAAAAATCAGCTGGAAATAAAGCTCAGTGCAAAGGCCCTGGTTTCAGTCTCCAAAGCTGCAAAGCAAAACGAAAAAACAGAATTTGGATCCGGTGGTCCACATCCATAGTCTCAGCTATGCAGGAGGCTGAAACAGGAGCTTGCTTAAGCCTTAGAATTCCAGAATTCCAAAGGGGCTGGGGAGATGGCTCAGTAGAATAAATGCTTTTGACTGGCAAACACAAGGATCTGAGTTCAATCCCTGGTTCTGTGGCCTTTTTCAGCTCTATTATAATCTTATGGGGTCAGCACCATATATATGTGGTGTTCTGTTTTGGTGCCGGGGATTTAACTCAGGACCCTACATTTGCCAGGCAGGCTATGTGGTGTACTGTTGATCCAGGGTTTGTTGGCGCACGTGTGTGATCCCAACGCTCAGGAAGGCCGAGACAGGAAGATTCCAACTTCAAGCCCAGCCTGGAGAATTGAGAATTTTAAGAAGACTGTTTCAGACTAAGGTATAAAAGGTTTCCCGTGGGCCAGCGAAATAGCTCACCAGTCTCAAGTTCGTTCTTAGGCGGGTTTAGGCAAACCTAGGGACAGCAGTGCGATCCCTGCCCCCAGGGTGGGGGTGGGCTGAGCTGGTCACACACACACACACACACACACACACACACACACACACACACACACAATCTTCAGGGGAAAAAAAAAGTTTGTTAGGCATAGTGGTGCATGACTGTAACCCCAGCACTTGGGAGGCTGAGGCAAGAATTTGAGGGCAGCCTGGGCTACAAAGTAGGATCAAGGCCAGTCTGAATTGCACAGTGAAACCATGTCTGAAAATGACCAAAAAAAAAAAAAAAGATATAAAGGGCTGGGATGCAAAAACATCAAACAAACTGGGCATGGTGACACTGGTCCTAAATCCCAGTGCAGGCAAGTTCCACTGCAGGATTTTTTTTTAAAAAATGTATTGGGGGGGCAGGGAGATGGCTCAGTGGAATAAGCGCTTCCCCGGCAAGCGCAAGGGCCTGAGTTCAGTCCCTCATTCTCCAAAAAAAAAAAAAAAAAAAAAAAGTACTTGGCACATGAGTCTCACTACACGGCTTGGGCTTGTAGCGATCCTCTGTTTTCACCTGTTCTTGGTGGCTGGCTCAGCGCGCCCCAGGGCAGTTTTTACACAGCTTGGGTCTTTGGCCAACACGCTGTCACATTGAAGCACCTGTATAACAACACGTTTTTTAGTAGCATCGGGAGATGAATCCAGGGCTTCCCGCTTCCCGAGCTGGAGTGTCAGGCCCATAGTAACAGTGCGCTGTGATGACCGGCTGAAATTCCAAAGGCAGGGACGGTAAAGCTTCTAGAGCTTTCGGTGGTACAGCCCACTGCAGCCCTGAACGTGTAGGTTCACTGCCACTAATGTAGGCGGTCAGACAGAAGCGGCCGAGCAGGGGTGGCGGTGCAGAGCCAGGGCGGGGGTCACACGCGTTCACGGCCAGACCGGGCTGCCCGGTGAGACGAACGAACCAACGAACGAACGGCCCAAACCAAAAATGAAATAAGTAACTACGGAGTCATCATCAAATACTTCATAAATACCTTATATATTTATAAAAGACTCGCTTGGATGTTTAGGCTTGCCCACATTATATGTATTTCCAGGGTTTTTGGTGGTGCTGGGGATTGAATCTTCTACTAGGCAAGTGCTCTTTTTTTTTTTGGAGAAAGAGTTTTGCTATGTAGTTCAGGCTGGCTTTGAACTCACTTTGTAACTCAGGCTGGTCTCAAACTCATGATCCTCCTGCCTCAGCCTCCTTTTTAAAAATTTTTATGTATTTGGTCCAGGGTCTTGCTATGCAGCTGGGACTCATAGTGATCCTCCTGTTTTCAGCCTCCCCAGCGCTGAGATTGCAGGAATGTACCACTGTAATGTACCACTGTCAGTGGCCGGCTCAGCACGCCCAAGGGTGGGACCAGCATGGCACGTGGTGTCTGCGATTGAACCCCGGTCCCTGTGCTTGCCAAGCAAGCGCTTAGACCCCTGAGCTATTTCACTGGTTCCATGCCTCAGCATTCTTTTGTTATTATTATTATTATTATTATTATTATTATTAATTTATTTATGTGTGCGTGGCCAGCTCAGCCCACCAGGGGGCGGGGCTGGCTGGCATGTGGTGCTGGGGGATTGAACCGCGGTCCCTGTGCTTTGCTGAGCTTGTTCTAAGTAGGTGCTTTTTTTTTTTTTTTAATTTTATTTATTTATGTGTGTGTGTGTGGCCAGCTCAGCCCACTAGGGGGCGGGGCTGGCTGGCATGTGGTGCTGGGGGATTGAACCGCGGTCCCTGTGCTTT